AACACAAATGCAAAGTTTCTCTCACTTGTTCCAGTACAGCTATTACACGCACTAAGTCTCCCTTCAAAATGCCAGCAACATTCCTTATAGGAATGGATCTTTAGGTTGTTGTTAAGCTGATGTTCACAATAAATGAGAAGTTACTCTAGTACTGCTTCTTGTTCTGCTTACATTTCTGATAGTGCCATTGGAAATACATTCAAATTAAGCAGCTGCTCTAGACCGAGATGTTTTGACAGGACTTATTTTAAAGCAACTGGGTTTGCTACTTCCTTCCTTCTACAAACCTCTGAATTTCTTCTTCAACTCACATGAAGTAAATAGTGGCTCAAGCTGGTTGGAATGCAGTAGCCAGATGACAGGTGTACAGATTTCTGGTGTTAGTGTCCAGATACCTACAAGAACAAGTCAGGAAAAGCTCTTGTTCTCTTCCAGTTTGTGAGCAAACAAGACAGTGTGTCCACCTCTCCGATCACCATCTAGTGAGATACGCCAGCATTTTCCCAGCACAAAACACTGTCAGGTTTTTATCTATGTCTTTCTCAACATGAAGTTTCATCTTAATCTTTTCTCACCCTTCCTAATGAACAGGCATTCACAGTGCCTTTGAAGAAGCGTTCTTTTTGGTTAGGTGTAAATGTGGCTAAGCCTGTTCATCCCTGTGTCAAGCAGAAAATGGCTGGCCTTAGAGTGGGCTTTTCTGCTAACCCAGCTAACTGAGCAACTAATGCCCTACATGAAAGGCAGACTTAGTAGCTAGAGAACAAAACATACTATGCAGAATAAGATAGAATGTGGAAAATAAGCTTTCTTATAAGCAAGTACCCTCTATTTCAAGTCATTTTTGCTTTTATTTTTTGGCTCCTGTACAAGATCTGGGCAAAACCTGAATAATTTACCTCCTGCCTACTTTGACCAAAGACTAAACCAACCAGCTGTTGAACTAATTGACTATGAAGAAGGTTTTGAGCACAGTAAATATCTGTAGCTCTTTCATCTCTCTACCAGGAGCTATTAGAAAAGTGATGGGAGATCTTTATTCTGTGCCATCAATGTTAATTGAGAATATGCTAATGCCAAAAATCTTCCCTCCCTCCTACAGTTCCAGTGTCAACAGTGCAAAATTACTGCTACATCCTCTGGGCAGTTTAAAAAGCTTCTTGACTGTAGTGGGTAGGAAAAAATACTGGGTAAATCTCATTTATTCCTCCAGTAATCCTGGGCAGTAAGTGCCACAGCCTGCATCACCCTCATGGTGCCCCTGGTCCAAGGGATGTGGCTGTTGCACTGTGGAGGCTGTGACAAAGGGGGCACAGAGTGGGGCAGAACCACCCCTGCCTGTGCTCCAAGCCAGTATGTGACAGTGTGTGCAACATAAGGCTTGACTCCTCAGGTTTTAAGCTCTTTCAGAGAGTGCTAATCTTTCATTACAATGAGTTGGAGCACAAAACCCAACACTGATCTCAGGTTAGCCGTCAGCTCCAGCAGCTCCCTAAGAGCAGGCAGGGAAGCGCATCAAATCAGGAATTCTTCCCATCAACTTCCTTGAGTAACGGGTGCCTTGAGCATCCCAGAAAGGATTTGTTTACCATAGAAAACACACTTGGTTTTGATTCTTGATGAACAATTCAGCTTTTCAGCTGAGAATGCTGAGCTGCAAAGTTTCTATAAGTCCCCTTACAATCTGTGGCCAATTGCTCCATAAAGATGGATCCGAAGACCCAGGATCATGTGCTGCAGAACCACCAGCAGACACTGCCTGAATTGTGCCCATCCCACTGAAAAGCTCCAAAGTTAAGGCCATGTGCATATGGGGTTTTGATGTTGGTTGTCAGAGGATACTGCTGGATGTTGTAATTAGCGCATTAAAATCCCACAGGCCTTACAAAGTGAAGATGCTGAAAGGTATGGGTGGAAGAGATTTGGTGTCATATTTAAGAACAGCATGTAAGGGGTTTTTTTTTAAGCTGTAAGAGCTTCCTGAAGTACAGTTCACTCGTTCCTATGATTATTTATCATTCATTCTGCTGTCAGCTTTGGCAGTGGAAATGTACTTGTCAGACACACTTTTATGGTTTGTGGCTATTTTCAGTCTGTGAGTTTGATGCAATTGCCTCAAGTCCATGGCCTGTAATTTCCAAATACAATTTGCTGGGGATGCTAGAATTTTAACTGTGTTAGAGAGCTTCAGCGGGGTGAGGTTTGCCACCTGAGTTTTCCCCCATATTTGACCTGGCACATTGCTTTAATCTGTGCAACCAGTTTCACACGCTGGTATCCAGCATAAATAAGGGACCTGACCCTGAAAGACAAGTAGCGCTGTACCAAAAATCTGTCTTTGGGAGCCAAGAGTGTTCAGAGGCACTCCAGATTTTCATTGTCTTGCATTTCTGTGACCAAAACTAAGGCCACTTCATGGCTGTCCCTCCACTGACTTTAAAGGACCTTGGGCTAGGATGACCATGGGAATGGAGTGAGCTGAGAAAGGGACCGGGTGTATGACTGAGCTCAAAGTAAGTTCATTTTTGGTTGTTTGTGGTGTATCTTATTTGACTTGACTTGGTAAGGAGGCTCAGAACCATTAGTGATGGCACATGGGGGCCTGTTTGCCCATGCAAGTGTCGAGGGATCCTGAAACTGGATGAGCACAAAGCTCAGAAAAGGTGGTGAAGGATACCCCAGGTGAATGAGAACCCCTGACTCTGACAGTCCAGTTGACATAAGAATGAAGCACTGTTTCAGTTGAGCTAAACAACCTGATTTTCAAACCTGCTCCATTGCATCTGCTGAGTGTTTAATGCAAGAGCTGTTGGCAGGTACAACTGCTTAAAACTTGACTCTTAATTCATGACTAATGTTCAGCAGTGCATGAAATAAATGTTTGCAGACATTTCCAGGCTGAAATGTGGAAGGATCCTGAAACTGGATGAGCATAACCTTCAGAGGAGGCAGGGAGGGATACCCCCGGTGAGTGGCAGTAGAATGGGTTGCACTGGGGACATACCCTACCCCGAGTGTTGCTCTTGTTTTCAGGTTTTATAAAATACAAATCTATTTGTAAGCAGACTGAGATCTCCAAATCTGGGTTGTTCCCGCAGAGTATCATTTTAATATGCCTGGAAATGTGTCCTTCCTGAGCTGATCTATATTGCTGGGACGCCAGCTTTGAGGCTTTCTTTTATTCAGCAGCCTGCTTTGGCTCTGAATGCCATTAAGAGGTTTGGAATGAAGCAGCAGCTACATTGCTGGAGAGGAAAATGTGTTTCTCTGAGTGTTGCTGTTTGTGATAAGGTGTGATCTACTTGCTCATTGCTAGAAAGGTATTGGGCACCTACACACTGCTTGCAGGCTGCCATAGCTTGGCAAAACTCAGTTGCAAAGAAGCTTAAAATGCTGTCTACCTTTGTCCTCATGTTGTAAGCATAGGTAATAAAAATACACCAGGATTCCTTATGGCAGGCCAGAATTGCTGCTTTCACTGATTGTTTTCTTTTTAATAGAAGAATGATCCCTGATACGGACAAAAGGTGCTTTCCTACTATCTCAGTCTGCCTACATTGTTTTCAATCTTGAGTTGACTTCCCAGTAAAGAATTCTTCCTTCTTGTGGGCCCAGAGACTTTGGGAAGTATGCAGAGGATTAAGGCTGTGAATTTTTATGTGAATTACTTGCTCTGATTTCAAGTTATTATTAAGCCTTTCCAGTGAAAATGCAAACAAAGCCATGTCTCCAGGGGATGGGGAGTAGACACTGCTGCACATTGTAATCAGCCTCTCTTGAAGATTCATTTAATATCTTGTGTATCTTTTTTTTTGTTATGAAATGCATTATTCATGGAAGAAGATGCACAGAGAGAAGCAGCTGAATTGTAATTTCTGGAAAGATTCTTCTTCTGAGAGATGGCACTTTCATTGTTTGAAGCGATGCAGTAGGTCCTGCCTGAGTGAGGGAGGCACGAAGTGGAGGGAACAGCCTGAGCCAGTTAGTTACTGCCCCTGAAGGGATGTAAAACAAGCCATCCAGTACTTCAAGCCCCTTTGGGTCAGTACATAGCCATTGGAGACATCATTACACTTTCGCAGGGTTTTTTTTAAGTCTGTGCTAGAAGCACTTAAGAAAAGAGCAATCAGCGAACACTTACTCAGTGGAAAAGTTTCCTCTCTCATAAAAATACTGCTTGCGAGCTGCCTTTTTGCTGCTGTTTTCTAGAGAGCGCTCCCTCAGTTCTCCATTGAGTTCACCTGCCCGGCCATGTGAGAAGACATTTCTTCTCGTTTCAGGGCCTACAGTAAAAGTTGCACTTGTTTATATTGCAATTCTTTCTTATTTACTTAACCTTATGTAAACCACTGTACTTAATTAACACAGGCTCAGCCTCTGTTAGATTTAAGACCTCGCTCCACCAGCGGCCCCACTGAGATCACTCAGGCTATTCATAGACTGCAAAATGCAAATAACACCAGTAGAGCTTAAGCTTAATAATATTACAGACTGTAAGTGCTTAAGGAACACTGTGTGCTGTGCATTTCATGCAGCACAGTTCATGGCAAACTTATTTTTTAAAGCAAATATTTAGGAATGAGAGCATATGAACACTTTAATAATGTTAATGAAACAAAAAATAGGATGTTACAGCTGAATTTGAGATGTTTCATAAGGAAAGGGATTCTCTCTCTCTCTTGCTTTGACTGTCCCTTTCCATCCCCATACAGCCATCTTATAGGTGTATGTGTCCCCTTTTGTCTTACTTTCTCCCTCCCCTTCCCCCAGAGGGTGGGAAGCTTCCCAGTTCCCGTCTCTCAGGCCTTTAAATAAGCTGGTGACAGCAGAGCTCAGTGAGAGACAAAATTGACCTCCCGGCACATGTTGCCATGTTGGGGGTGTGTGCATCCATCCGCTGGTTGTCTGGTACCCCAGACAAACCTAACACAGTGAAGCTACACAGTGGTGGGTTGCTGGAATTAATGTCTTTCTCTTTTCTCTTTGTTCATTTGCCCAAGTTTGTCCACTACCTCCAATGGTGAGCCATGGAGACTACATCTGCCACCCGCGGCCTTGCGAGCGTTACAACCACGGGACGGTGGTGGAGTTTTACTGTGATCCTGGTTACACCCTCACCAACGACTATAAGTACATCACCTGCCAGTATGGAGAGTGGTTCCCCTCCTACCAAGTATACTGTGTCAAAACAGGTAAGGGAGCAGCAATGGCATTACTCCTGTCCTCTTACCGTCCCTCTTTTTTAGAGCAAATCTGTTGGTCTGTAATGCCTGGTGAACTTCATCTGTTCCATGGTTAAGTGATGGACATTGATTTTAAGATGCTATTAAATTTAGTATATTTCTAAGATCCTGAATGATACTAAATAATTTCAATTGTTAGCTCTTCAAATGTATTTTTTAACATTTTCTGGATATTCTTATATGTACATAAGTCATGATTGCACATATAAAAAAAAAGTTAAGGGGCAAAAAAAAGGTCCAGCCCCTGTGGCAGCTTAATGTTAAGGTTGGGTTTGGTATTACGGCACTGGGTACATGTGTTTTTACAATAGATGTATAAAAGATGTCTTTGCCTAACTGGCACTTCTGAATATTGTTAAAGTATTAATACAAAATAACAGTGGTAATAACGAAGCACCATTTTTGTATCGCCTTTTTGTTACAGAACAAACCTGGCCAAATACACAGGAGACCCTCCTGACTACATGGAAAATAGTGGCATTTACTGCTACCAGCGTTTTATTAGTACTGCTACTGGTTATTTTAGCCAGGATGTTCCAGACCAAATTTAAGACACATTTCCTTCCACGGTTTGTACTGTTTTCTATTACCTTTTGAAGATTGAGGGCCTTGATTCAGTTTTCACACTCAGCACTCCTTGCTGAGGAGATGGAGCAGCTCACGAGCCTGGCAGATACCTTCTGCTTCTGCTCTGAGCAGAAGTCTCTGAACCACTGGTGTGGATAGGCACCCCCCAGAAACCCTGCAGTGGTGCTCACTGCAACTGAGATAAAGGGCAGAGTATGCCAGATTCACTTTGGGAGTAATTACAGCTCTGCTGCTGAGAATTGCTGTTTCTGCATAGTAGAAATAGCTGACAATATTTTTAAATACTCATTTTCAGGTGCTGGGGGAATTAATGTTTTAACTACTGCAGACTTAGTAATGGGAGTTTTAAGAAAAAATTTCTTTTTTCTCTATGGGCAAATTTATATTAAAAGTTTGCTTTCTCTTCATGAGTATTACTTTCATCGTGATTCATAAACATCTCCTACATCTTCCGTTATTCCTATCAAACACCAAGCAGCTATGAGCATTTGTCATTGATTCTCACAGCAGTCCTCATAAGACAGGTAGGTGGGTATTACTATCACCATACGGCTGGAAAAACAAAGGCAGGCATGCTGAGTTTTAGGCAAAGATAGGTTTAGACCCATTTCTACTTTTCAGTCTGCTCAGTTTGCTATGGACCTCAACTGTGTGACCTCTCTCCTGCGCTTGCTTTTTGTCGTGTCTTTATTCTACCATGTGCAGAAAGGAGAGGTGGAAAAAGTGGAATGTCAGTAAACATGTCTACACACCAATGCAGCAGAAAGGACTTCACCATCTTAATGCTAAATAAGCATGTGTACATAAAAGTATACAGATTATATAAGTAATGTGTAAATGTTTATATATATGTGTGGGGGAGTAGTATACATATGCATACACATATGCATATGCATATACATACGCATATCCATATACAAAGCTCTTTGGGGTAGTGGGTTGCACTACAGAAAGCTTTATAGCCTGCGCTTTCTAGCTTACCGAAATGGCTTTCTGTCCTCTCCTTTTCAGACAATTTTCATGTCGCAAAGGTACCTGGGACCAATTCCCTCCCGTGATTTAACTGGCTAGTTATAAACAAATATTTAGGGTTTAACAGGCCTTCCCAGTTAATAGAAATGTTTTGTTAAAGAAACCAGCTTATTACTGGTTAAGGAAGCCTTCATCCTTTGAAAGTAAGACCTGAAGGAGGCCACTGATCTGGCCACCAAAGCCCTGTCATCCAGTAGCATTCATCTCAGTGTCTGTTTACATGGGTTGTAAACACTTCTGTGCTCTGGCACACATCTTTCCAGGGGTTCAGACACTTCTGACTGGTGAACTACATCTTTGATCTTACATCCATGACACCTACTGTGCACAGCAAAGCAACCGGTGCTTCTTATCTCTTCCAAGCACCCTTTTTCCTTCCCTTCTTGGAACTGTTCTTCGCATTAGCGGTTTCATTTCTCCAATTGTAACAGATTCCACCTGACTGGCAGCCCGAGCAGAGCTTTGCAGCCCCGTGAAGCAACCATTTCTGTGAATGTTAATGACCTTGTAGCTTCATTTTGCATGACTAGAAAGCGCTGTGTTTACTTAAGTTCAGCAGTCGCTCCGAGGTGTTTCTGACATGCTCCTGCTCTCTGTGATAACTCATCTGTGTTTGACGTAGAGGCAACCAGGAGGGCTCCATGGGTGACCCCGACTTTGTGGTGGTGGATGGTGTTCCTGTCATGCTGCCTTCCTATGATGAAGCTGTGAGCAGCGGCTTGAATGCTCTGGCACCCGGATACTCAGCTACCGCAGACCAGGGGCATATTTTGCAGACAGAAGACCAGAACCCTCCTGCTTACCCCGGCCCCAGGATTACAGACACGCTGCCTAGCGAATCTGAGACCTGTGACAACAGGTCAGAGTCCTCTGAACTGCTCCAAAGCTTGTACCCATCCCAGGCATGCCAAGAGGCAGCACTTCCTGGTTCAGATAGAACTGATGTATCCCATGGCACTGCTGGGGAGGCTGCGTCCACGAGTCCACGGATTGATATTGCAGATGGTGAGTCTTGCATAGGTGCCATAGGTGGGTCCATAAACAGAAGCCATCATTCATTTGTATGGTCAGAGCAGGAATAAACCCGGCTGACTTGCTGGGTTTTGTCCACATCTAAATATGGATGTTTTTTAAACCATTCTACTCCATGGTCATATAGCTTCGTGTCTGTGATATCCTTTCTAGCTGTGGTGCAAGGATTTGAATCCTAGACCAGAAGCTTCCTGTCCAGACCCCAAAACAGCAGTCTTATCAACAGGGATATCAGCAGGCACCTGTGTACAGCAGCAAAGCCAACCATCATCTTGCCTGTGTTGGTCTGTTCATCGGCTCCTCAACTCCTATGCTCACAACTTCCTCACATGCCATAGCTTTCACAGCAAAAACCAGGATTTTCTCCTTAAAATGGAAAGCAAATCATGTTTTCATACTCAGCCAAAATTAGCTTTTTTATTAACAAACCTTTCATGCCCATGTGTACAGCATCTCCTCATCTGAGGCATGTACACGTTAAGCCATGGCCATGGGAGTCACAGCATAAGGTACCCCCAGGACCATGTATGACAAGGGAGATTGCCACATACTATTGTCTGCATTTAAACTGAACATAAGCATGCACTGATGCCAGTTCACTGAGTTCTAATAGAGCCGTATGGTATGCTGCTCAGTGTGCTAAGGAAACTAGATTGCTTTCCCTGGAGACATTTTGAAGGAGTGGCTCTGATCCTGCTCTCCACAGTTACTAGGCAGAAAGCTGAAGCCCAGTGTCTTGAATTGAGTGTGGGTGAAAGTCCGGGTGGAGGAAGTCCTTCTTCATAGGGTCAGGGCTAACTTTTACTGATATGACAAGGGGGAGAGGACTACTAGGAGGAGGAGGGAGGAATTACTATGATGCCAGTGAAAAGTCCCTGCCTGCTCTGAATGCTGTTTCAGTGATTAACGTGGGAAAGGATGTTTGGAATTAGGTTTTTGTAGGCCTGGTTTGTTTTATTGAATCTAGATAGTCTTAGAAGGTTAATTTTCATCTATGTGTTAGAGTGGGTCTAGAATTATTGATACCATACGTCTTGTTCAGACTTTTGCAATGTCCATTTGTAGCATTGCTAATGCGAATATCCTGCAACAGTATATAGGGAAGTTACAATCAGCAATCAATGCTATTTCTTTTTTTTCCCTAGAGATTCCTTTGATGGAAGAAGACCCTTAGCCTGCACAGAGACCGGTCTTCATTGAATTGCACTGTTGGGTGGTGTGAATCATGAGCATCTAGAGATAGAAAAGACTATCTGTGGATTTGGGGAGGGTTTTTTCCTACATATCAATCTTCCACGTGATGATGTCACCAGGTTAGGTGTGCATCTTAATCCACAGCAGGGATAAGAGCATCAGCATTTGGAACAGCAGCAGTTTTATGAATGAATCCTGGGGATTTGATGTGAGCAGATGTAGAAAAAGAACTGTGGCTTTTTAGAAATGAAATGTATCTCTGCATCGCAGAAAGTCATATGGTTCTGTAAGAAATGCTATTGGATTTTGATACTAACTGCCTCAGCATGTCAAAGTATGTAAATTTGCTTATAAAGACTGCTTTAAATGATCTATGGACCTCCAGTTTATGAAGAATCCTTTAAAAAAATACTAGTACTGAAACACACAAAAAGAGGAAAGATCCTCTTTGGCTTTCCTACAGTGATCAGGAAGCTTTTGATTTAGCTGTTGGTGATTTTGTTTCAGACCATGTCTGCAGAAAATATAACAGAGACAATGGGATTCATATATACTTTAATGTATGATAGCAAATATATATAAATATATATATATATATATTTAAAAACTCTTAAAGAGAAAGAAAAGGAAAGACTCCAAGGTCACATAATGATCTGGAGATTTTTTTAAAGGCAAGGCAGAATTTATATCCTATTCAATATTCAAGGTAAAGTATCGGTATTTGTATTTATGCAAGACTTCTGTGACTACATTGCATTTGATAAATCCTGCTATAATATGAGAGATCTAGAAAATGTCAAACTTACTAAAATACGTGCTTAAGAAATGTTGAACTGCCCTGCTTCAACCTTTCTTAAGCTCTTACAACATATACGTATATATACCAGAGTAATCTACAGTCATAGCCCAGAGCACTGCCTTGTCCCTGTACATTGTGGTAGTATTCTGAGCCATTATTGTAGAATACTTTTTAAAGAAACAATAAAGTTCAGTTTCAGTTCTTTTGACTTAACCTGACTGTGTGTAGTTGGCCTTTCTTTCCTTGCTCACATTTTCAGCTTTATGTTTATTACCCTGCTAGAAATGGAGAGAGTGCTTTTGGTGCAGCAGTGGTGCAGCTTCTGTAGATGCTACATGGCTTTTCTCTCCCCTACATGCGACCCCAGAGCATTGTGCTAAAGCCGGTATGAACAGTTGACCTTTGTGGTGTTACAGGCTATTCATTATTCCTCAGGAAAAATTCCTGGCTGCTTCATACACTCACTGAAAGCCAAGTACATTTCCTTGACTCATTTTGGGTATTGCGCAAAGGAAACATATGTTAAACTGGCAGTGTTTGAAGCAAGAACTCGCCGTATGTTAATGATAAGGATTGTCCTCATGTGGGCCAATCCAAACAAAAGGATGAGACTGCATTCTGATTTTATGTACAGAGTAAGCCAATAGTATTTCTATTGCCCTAAAGAGAAGATTGCTGCAAGTTGCTCTGTTATGTTTTCATGATTGTTTTATTTATTGGTGTTGTGATAGCATCCAGTGGCCCCACTCATGAGTCAGGCTAGTAGAATGATGGATGTGCTGCACCCATACAAGAAAGTGTTCTATTAGCATCCTGTCAGCAACTGTATATGACAGCAAGATGGAAATGGAGACCAGAACTGCGTGATGGAGAGGCAATTATTACACTAATCTCAGTTATTCTACGGTATCGTTGATGAGAACGTAGTGATTGGTATTGAAAGATAAGACATATTCCACATTTCCTCCATGCTTGCTTACTTAAGATTTGCATTTTTAATGCTGCAAGTGTCTCAATTGCAATCATATCGCTGGGTTTATCCCAGAGCCATATCTATTGGGCACTAGTACTTTATTTTCTACCCATTCCTTTTCAGGTCCCATGCTTTCCAGAGGTTTTTCCACTGCCAACTGAAGTTCAGAACAGTCACCCCAGCAAAAACAAGGCAAGAGTGCTGCAATACCACCTTCGAATTGAAGCACGTCTCAAGCCTACAGTCAGTTAAGTGATTTTTGTTTCATAATGTCATTGAAAAGTATTGAATTTACTTGCGATGCACTATAAAATATTATGAAATCTGTCTTTGCTGGGTTTTTAACAGCTTGTGAAATTTCATTCCTTATTAAATTTCTAGACTTCCATTTATTAATTTCTGTTATGAAGGATTTTGATTAATATGGGGAGCCCTGCGGTTTTACAGATTTATACTGCTGTCTGTATTGTACTGCAGTCATTTCACTAAGGGAGCCAGACAGGGTAACTTAAGAAATGTAAATTTATGGCTTATTAGACCACTTTTATTTTAGAAAGTGCAGAACTGCAAATACACTAGAGAACATTGATGTATTAATATTGCTTGATAGTCCTTTGATAGCACCATACTAAATACAACTTGCAAAGGCAAAAGAGAGATTCTTAGCATTTTTTGCTTATGATGTGTAAGAAAGACTTTCTGAAAGGGTTTTATGGGGGGATTACTTGTGTGGTTGAGTTTGGGGGTTTTGCATGCTTGGATTTGGGGGGGAAGGAAAGGACTGTTTCTTTATTTCTCCACGTATTCTCATGAGTGGTCTGCCTGCCCCCAGATCTGCACCTGTGTATGGACCCACAAGCTGATGCTCCACAGCCTTCCCAGCTCCCTGGCCACATCAGATCAACCTCAGTGTTCTCTCAGCCTCGAGAACACCGCAGCTCCCTGGCCTAAAAGCTCAGATCAACATTGCACACACCCTGAAGGCAGCCAGACCTTGAGGAGGGTGGATGCTCTTAGCGCCTCGAGAGACCAGGGAGCTGGTAAGGTCATGTCAGCGTGTTTGCCGTGCAAATGAAACCAGATGGGAGGATGAGCTTGTCTTACGCAGATCATAAGCTGTTTTCACTTGAGATAACTGGATGTGAATAAAAAAACAAGCCCAGGAAACCCTCATTTGTGAAGGGAGAATGTTAGTGAAGACAACCCACGTGCCTTCAGCAGAGGGAGGAAAGAGTGCATAATACTGAGAACTCCAGGAAAGACAAACAAGAGCTGGATTCACCCTGCCAATACCTCTGAAAAATGAAAAAGGAGGAGGAGAAATGAGCAATGTGTCAACCTTCAACACTGACTTATGAACAAGGGCTTGACCTGCAGAGTGCTGGGGGAAGGATGGGGATCCAAGGTCTCACAGCAGCGCTGCAGGGAGTGAATCACAACCGGAGCATGAGCCAACAGGACCTGGCTGATGCGAAAATGTTAAATGTCAATACGAGGGTGTTTACATGGAACTATAACTCATGAAATGCATGAAGCAACGCTTCAGCTCCACTCAGCACTAAGTGAGGCCTCGGCTGTGTCTAACGTTGAGCAGTTTTTTCTCCTCTTCAAGGGAGATGTGCAGCAGCTGGATGGAAGCCAAGCAGAGAGAACCAAGAGTTATTAGAAGTCTGAAAGAGCCTGTCCTCACAGGTTATGACAGAGATTATTTATGACAGATTAAGACAGAGTGTTCAGTGTGAACAACAGAAGACCAAAAGGGACACAGAAATGCAGTTTGCTGTAAGAAGCATATTTTGCATAGAAGAAGAAATTTATCCATAGAAGTAGGACAAGAATAATAGGCTTAATTGCAGCTTGAGAGAATTAGGTTAGATATTAGGAAAAACACTCTAGCCACAGGCATGAGGTTACAAGCAGGGAGAGTGTCAAAAACCTCTTGTTATGAGAGATTAAAACAGGGACCAGGAAAACATTGAGATGAGATGCACTACATGAGCTCTGGGGCTTCTTCGCATTCCGTTCCCAACACCTGAGAATTAAATTTGGCTGATGCACTATTGGGATTAGTCTATATGGGTTCTTTCCATATAGACTAATTCAAAACTGATGGTACTGGCAAACTGGCCAGCGGTCATCAAAATGACAGCCAGAGACACTGCCTATTCCACCAGTAGTAGCTTTTCGTCTTTCATGGGCTCAGCTCCAGTAAAATCCTGTGAATTGAACCCTGTTGCATTAAAGCAACATTGATTTCAGAATTCTGTTGTGTGACAAATCCAAATTTGGGATTTTCTGGTCTTTGTGTCTGTCTTAGGCAGCGAAATGAATGCAGCCCTTCTGATACTCTGTGTGCATTAGGTGAAGTGAATCCTCTCTCAGCAGCTATCTGAAGACACCTATTGAGCTCAAGGGAAAACAGCAGCTCAGGCACTGGAGCGCAGAGCCCATTGTCCTGTTGATGCAAAACTTGCTTCCTGTGCCTCAAAAGCTGTAAGTACAGCTTACAACATGAGCTGTCAGAGGAGGAGTACCACAAATGAGAGAAGCACGTCTCAGGCTCCTGCTCTTGGTCTCCCATGGATTCCCAGAGACAACATGGAAGCAGGGAGAACTAGAAAGCAAATAAGCATCTGCCCCAAACCCAGGAGCATCTCCCACTGTCAAGGGCAAGTCCAGTCCCTTCAACAAAGTTCCCAAAGGAATTGCACTACAGCAGAGGGAAGGCAGTAAGGCAGAGGGGTGGTACACCCTGCTTTGCCTATTGCTCTCCCATGCCAGGCTCTGCAGCCAGAATAGACAGACAAAGCCTTCTCCTCCAAAATAATGTATATAACTTCCTTCATGTATTAGAGATGCCTCTTGTCACTACCACTATATAGAAGCATACAGCCCATTCTTCCAGCCCTACCTTTTCCAGGAAAGATAAACATAACATAAATAACATAAAGTATGTTATTTAACAGTAAATAACATAAAGTATGTTATTTAACAGTAACAGAGGGCATTAGCTTGAGATTAAATTATTTGCTGTCCAGGTGTCAGAGTAGACACATAGTTCACATAGACCCTATCACAGAAACTGGACATTAGGCTGACTGGGATTCTTGAGGCAAAGGGACTGTGCTGCAGGGCAGGGGGAGCTGATATGTGAGGGTTTGTAACCCAGAAGAACTGGGTTTTCCCAGTATAATAAAATACATTAAACAGGAACTTGGAGGAGGAAGAAAAAGACATTTTAATAAAGTCCAGGGGACATGGGTAAGTTCCCCATTGTTCTCCAGTAAGAACAGAAGGAGCTGTTTTCTTAACAGAACTGGTTCAAAAAGAAGTCAAGAGGCAGGGAAGGAAGAAAAGCTTCCTGGATTGAGGGTCCAGCAGCTCTTTTCCATCACCTCTGCATTTCAATGGTCAGACTGGTTCTGCTTGCAATAAAGGGCCTTGGTTTTGATTTGGATCCACATTTTCCATTTTACTGTGTTTGCCTTCTGTTTCTCCTCTGATTATCCTTCTACTCTGTTTCTCCTTGGTTTTATTGTATCTCATACTATTGTTCCACTTTCATCCTGCCACCGCAGTCACGCTGGGAAGTGAAACAAGTTTCTTAATTGCAGTGCTGCACTCAGCAGGACATGTCCCCTCCCTCACAAGAGGTTGCTCTTATTTGCCTTCCTCATTTACGGTCTCAGCAGAGAGGACAAGAAGGGACATGTTGTTCCTCACTCTGCTGTCAAATGGTCCATGAAAATGCTTAGAGAGGGACACTGAGGGAAGCTCACATTGCTACATGCCCCTGTCCCAAGGCTGTCGGTCCATATTCACTGCTGCACACAGATGCTCCTATACAAACGCAGATATTGGAGAATTAGCTAATATTTCAGGGTGCTTCAAGGTAAGACATTTTAAAGAGACCCTCATTCCTGAAACTGGTGAGCTCACAGCTTCAGAAAACGGGCACTGGCACGGCCCAGTTAGGGAACACAAGGGTGCACAGCAGGCTGCTTCATCTGTCCGCTTCCTTGTGCTCCAGTATGAGCCTCTTGTCCCTGGGATAACTGCTCAAACCAAACAGTTGCAGTTTCTAAGCTGTCAGGTCCACATCTCTTTTTTTGCAACCTAATTAGGCCAGATTTATTTTTAACGCTCCTTGTTACCATCCCCTTCTGACTCCCATCCATCCACTGCTGAGTACATGCTGCTCTTGCCAAGGCAAGTGTCTTTCAGCAGCTATCTCAGCCCCCCTGGAACCGTACCACCCTGCGGGAGATCACACTTGCTACTGTTGTCCCTGCTATTAATTCCATGGCAGCACATGCTGTTCGTTTGCCTTGTGCAGTGCTCTCGTGCTAATAACCCTGCAACCGGTTGCTATTTTCTTTCATAACCATTACCATTGCTGGCTGTTGTTGATAATTCAGGGTTAATTACTCACTAAAAAGTTTAGCAGAGCTATTTAGCTTTGCTTAGCCTGTTTGCCGATGAAGACTCTAAATGTCTGCAGGCTGTCAGTGATACAGATGTTACTGGGGTTCAGTATAATTGGCTTTTACTGCAGCAAAAACAAGGTTTAGTCCAACTGGCAAGTCAGCTGCCTGCTTGTACACATACTGCTTGGGTTTCCACTGGATTTTGGGCAACCAACCGGGAGGAGAACTGCCGCAGTAACTTACTAGGTTCAGTTCTGTACCTTTGCAGCAGTGTGCAGCATAGGAGCAGCTACAGAAGTGCTGAAGCTCAGCATTAAAAGGGACATCCTGGCAGGTGTGAAGAGTCCAGCAGCACAATAAGGCTAATGGTGCTGTTTTGACCTGTCACAGATACACCTTACTGAAGACTGACGTGCCTACGACAAGACTTGGATGATAATGGTCTCTCTGGTTTATGGAAAAAGTGAGGAAAAAATTGCCAAGCAGCATCATTAAACTGATGATGCCCCTCCAGTCATTTTCCTCTGCTCTGGCTGTCTCCTGTTTCCTGAAATTTTGAATCTAGGAGCTGTTACAAACAGAAGGCTTGGGATATATGCACTGCTCTCAGTTCCCAGCAAAATGGATGGGAACTGGGACACTTTCAGCAACAAGCTCCTTCTGACCGTGCACTGGGAGTCCCCATCTCCTGATACCCAGCAGCAGAAGAAAGGGCAGGTGCTGCCATCTGAGGAAAGGTGGGGTTTAGCATCATACTCCTTTAGAGCAAAACTGGACCCTGGAAACTCCACTCAGCTCTCTGACTTTAATTGCATTTCATTCTTTGCAGTGAGTTGAGGCTGACTGGACTGGGTGCACTGTGGTATTCTGCATTCATTTAAGCCTTCACAACATAGGTCATCGACAGAGTGGCTGCTCTAGCCATTGCCAAGCAAGTGAAAGCAAGATGGTTGCTCTGTCGGGCACTTTCTATACCCAGCACACTGCTGTCTTCATCTTTGGATGCCTGAGTATCCTAAACATGCCTGGATATCTTACTACTAAATTATGAGTGAGAAACTGATTAATTGTTCCCTGACCTTCAGTTTCTTCATTGAGACTGTGTCACCAGACAATATTTTATGTCACTAGGAGACAGCAGATGTAAATCAAATATCTGCCTGCTCCAGAATATCTAACAAGGGAGGAAATTACTTCCATCCGTTACCACAGACAGATTTTAGAGAGGATTTTCTGCCTTCCAAATTCAGTTTCAAAATGCAGGTTCACTGCACAGGCACAGCTCTGCCTGTTGGTTTCCAGCACAAGGGGCACTGCCTCAGTTTGCCTGCACCACTGGCAAGAGCAACCTGCCGCTGTCTCCCATCTTCTAAATGCTTTTTATGACTAAATTGTAAATAAATATGACTAAATATGACTAAAACTGTAAGTGGAAATATCCAAGATGAATTTAGGTTCTGGGTTTCTCCGGAAGGAAACGTAGCGGGTATCCTTTCTCAGTCAATTCTATCAAAATAAAATATAACATATGATAAATTCTCGATAAAACCTAACTCTCAATAAATCTCTTCATCAGGGACTGTAGCACTAGGACGAGGTAATTGGTTTAAACTGAAACAGGGGAAGTTCAGGTTAGATATAAGGAAGAAGTTTTTTACTGTAAGGGTGGTGAGGCACTGGAATGGGTTGCCCAAGGAGGTTGTGAATGCTCCATCCCTGGCAGTGTTCAAGGCCAGGTTGGACAGAGCCTTGGGTGACGTGTGAGGTGTCCCTGCCCATGGCAAGGGGTTGGAACTGGGTGATCTTAAGGCCCTTTCCAACCCAAACCACTCTATGATTCTAAATTAAATGATAATTCAACTGGCTCTAACGAAGGCTGAACCCCATGCTCTTCACTTCTGTTGTCCAAGACTGAACATGCAATAAGTAGAAAGGGGACTTTCTTCCCCAAATAATCGGCAAGAAATTACAATGGGCCTTGGGTCTCTGAGAGCACCTGTGATTGCAGCACATAACATCTGCATACCTTGACTGGGATGCCAATGCCTTTCCATGCAATGGGGAGAGAGCAGTGCTCTGCCCCCCATGCCATCTTGTGCCCCTGCTTTGCTCAGGTACACTGGGAACAGCAGCCCCCACTGAACCTGGTGTATTTACCAGGTGCCCTGTGGCAGTGCTCTGTATTTTCTTTCCCTTGTTTTGTCCTTTTAGGTTTTTGCATTGGCAGCATTCAGCACTACCAGGTCACTGTATCAGCATGTTCTTTGGGCTCAGCTGTATGAGGCAGTATTTTCAACTCACATCATCTCCAAAGCAAGTGCAAAAATACCCAGTAACAACAACAGGAGAACTTTGATGAAAAACAAATCAAGCTCAGGAGTAGCCTTGTTGTTGTGTTGTCCATGTGCATTCATTTTTCAGTTCAGATTAGTCATGCACTGAAGGGATAGGAAGTTCACAAAAGGGCGGCCAAATCTCATGGTCAGAACTGGGGCACTGGAAGGAAAAACCAGCATGTAAACCAGACAAATACGAGCCCATGATTGCATTGAAATCTCAAAGGTTAATGTAAGATATGTTCATAACTGCTTTTGCTGAGGAAAAAAACCCCAGCCTGTGCCATGCAATTACACATTTAAGCTCTGTGGACAAGATCTGTTTACTGAATGTGAAAGGCATACACGCCAGGCTGCTGGGCCGAGAGTCCTGTGTAATCACCACAGGCTGCAACACAAACACAACAGTCTGAAGACCTCTGACATCTTATGAGTGCTTTTCTCTTACAGAGTGAGGAGAGTTTGGACCTTAAAAGGAAAATGAGCTAAGCTGCTTTAATTAGTAGGGCCAGAGAGAAAGAAACAAAGAATGACTCTGGAGAGAGGTAAGTACATGTGAAAGCTGGCAGGGAAACCGATGCCAAGCAGGTCGGAATAAATATCAAATATAGATGGACTCACGTGTGCAGATGCCAAACCAAACTGTTTCTATGTAATTCCAAGAAGGAAATGCAAAAGAACTTCCAAAGCACAAATCTGTGATAACTGGGAAACACTCTAATTGAGTATATTTACCTTTCGGCACAGTCATAAAGAACTGATTCTGCTCTCTTAGAAACAACAGCTGTTCACTGCTTAAGGCTCTTACTGATTTGCACCATGGACACTAGTGCAAAAGAGACCCAAGTTTATGCTATTGTGGCTCATCTGTACTGGGTCTTGATTCACGCAGCTCCGTCAGTACGATTAGTGCTGCGCTAGCCAGCAGCACCAGTGGCAAATGTGACTAGACAGAAAGTTATCTCAGATGCACAAAGAAAATTAAAAATACCAGCAATCTGTGGGGCTATTTTCATGCTGTTTTCAGGCAAACATGATTTGTGAAGTGGTGGTTGCTTCACAAGCAGTGAGTCACGGAAGCTTAGCCTCTGCAGCATCTCTTTTTTCCTTAGGCAGCACTTTCCATGGCAGTATCAGTGTAGATAAGAGCAGTGTTTTAGGGCTTGTCCTGATAGCACAGTGAGCAGAACCTGCTGTCAAGCCAGAACAGGTAGGAAAAACACAGGCCATACGAAAGGGAAACCCACTTCATGTCAGAAAGGTTGGACTCTCAGATGTGGATGAAGCCAGAAGCAGTGTGACATCCTGCTCCAAGTTACTCGGCATAAAAGCAGGAGTGGAAGCAGCACTGGTTGAAGCTTGGCTACACTGGGCATCAAGTGAGATGGAATGAGATGCAGCACAACTGCGGCATCTTTCTATCCTGGTATTCTGATATAAAGACATATTTAAGTTATTATTCTGATGCCTGCAGGAATCTTAATGTGTGAGGAAGCAAATGTTTTTTCTCTATTACAAGCTTTGTTAATAAAACACTTTGAAGATTCTTAGGTTAACATTCCTGGGAGTGCAAGAAGTGATGTGCTGTCTTTATGCTCTCCTCACGCTTTGTGTTTTCGAGCAGTACAACATGACATGTTGCAATTCATCTGTCATTTCCACATTTGGAGAAGTGGTCAGAATGGAGCAATCCAGCCATGTCAGCTGAATGCACTGTTGTTAACTGACAGATGCCTTGATTGCAACAGGAGGCGTGAAGCTGTTGTGGAGGCGCTGACTTGTAAACCCCAGTTGCATGCAGAACCTTGGCATATTGTCAGCATGTGCAGTTTTCAATTTCAAGGGACATTTCCTTTGGTGTTACCCGTGCGTTTTGTTTAACCTTCATCTTCCCTTTTTGTTAACGCTGCAGGAATTATTTCTTGGGGCTATCTCCTGTCCTACTTCATGCTGCATGTGCCCTGTGATTCCCAGGGGGTTCTGTGCGTATAGACCTGAGGTTACACCAGTGCAATCACATACAAATACCAGACAATGCAATAACATGAAAGCTGTCACAGGCCATTTTACTACGGCCCCAGTGTTTGAAAGGTTAGTTAATTTAGTTATTATAAAACCAGGTTTCAGCTTTTATTTGCCCAATGCAGCGAACAGCTGCCTGGCCAGCGGGTGCTGCCTAAACAAAGGTCTCCTCCTACTCTTGAGTGTCCCCAAGGGGAAGCTGCCCCTGCATCTGGCTGGCCTGGCAGCAGGGCCTGAAATAGGGGTTTGCCCTGTACAGCTGTGGAGGGCAGACAATCCAGGGCTGTATTTTATATTTCTTATTGATTTATGTATGTATTTTCAAGTCTGGGGTTACGTTTTTCTCCTACAACCCACTCAGACATTATCCTTTGGCATATTTTTACCTTATTTTTAAGAATCCAAAGCAGGGTAAGCACAGCCCTGAGCCTTTCTGCCGAGATCCAACCATACTAATTTCAACAGATGACACCAGTTTCAACATGTGTTAAAGTGAAAATATGGACGTTCTCAAGCTAAACTGTAGTATGTCGAATTATTCTTATGTTGAGAGAGATGAAGCACGCTCTTCAATTGATCAGACTTTGCTCAGTTAAACCTTACTGGTCTTGCTTGTCTCCTTTGCTCAGATTAACACAGACATATTTGTAATTGAACTCAGTGGTAGCCAAGGCTATAAAGGCATATAAATGGAAAAAAATGCCTCTCCGAAGCCTGCGGTCTCGCTAGGAATGAAGCTCACAGAAGCACATTCAAATCAAAATCAATGCTACCTGCACCAGCAAGGAAATCACTTGCAGAGGCTCATTTTGGAGCCTTCTCTATGCACAAAGAGAGAATAATTATCTTTGTCCACAGAGCGGATAGAATAAGAAAGGATAAATTTCTACATGTAAAACTGTTGGGTTCTCAGCCTTGACAAAAGCTTTCTGAAACACTTCAGTAATTCCCCACATACTCAACACACCCCATGCTGGCTGTTGTTGCTGCTAGTAAGCTGGAGGTTTATTGGGGAGATCACAGATTTCCCTATGTTTGTTGTGAAATCCAGGTGGGGAAAAAAAATCAAGTCATTCTTGGTATTTAATATGTTAATTCTAACTGAGACTCGTGACACAAAGGAACTTAATGCCATCACCTATGCAAGATATGAAATACGTGTCTCCAGAAATAGCAACCTTATTGCAGTGCTGATCTTATGTGGGTGGAAGCCTGTTTTTAGAAGGAGCTTGTGTGAAATGCTCACGTATTTCACCTGCCTTTTGTTCACACTAGGTGAGCCCAGAGGTACAATAAGACACAGATTTGGTAAGTATCTTACATGTAAGAAATGAGTAATTTGATGCATTAATCACTAGAGTGCAATTATAGACTTTAATTTAGGAGGCATTAGTCCTTTGCCATAGATAACCTTCAGTGGCTATTAGAATTTCATAGCCTGAGTTCATTGCAACTGGCAAATGTTGTTTGCACAACCAGCACACACAAGGGCCTGGTTTTTGGCTGGAAACACATTTTTTCAGTATTAAATCCACTCCATTAAATGCAAGAGAGCACCTGTTCAGGTCTCATTTCAATAAAGATTACATCCCAGTTGCATTTTAAGGGGGCTTATAAAGATTGCACATTATTAATGTCTTTTATTAGTATGTTTAAAATGGAGTGGGATACACTGGAAATATTACAAGCACATTGGTAGAAGGAATCATAGCTGGTGATAAACCATGGCAACAGATAGACTATTGACCTGTTGCAGTCTTTATCAAAATATGAGGCAAATGACTATTTGTTACAAAATCTGTTAAAGCATTTACAGACCCTCCATAAATAAACCTTCATATATAGCATGTTCTTGAAATTAGTAATGTGATTAAAATTAGGTATCTACATACTTGATTACAAGCAGCTGCATAAATCTAGGACATGGTAAAATTCTGTGCATAATTGTTCCTAATTGTTGATGGTTTCATGTGTAGAGTGGAGAGGATACACCTTCTTTTCCCTCCTTCCTAACCCATTACAGTATCTACTAGGTGTCTAGCTCACCTTGTGTATGTGACTTGCATAAGATAACGGAGGAGCAACAAACATCTCTCTGCTTAACACAGATACCTTGACAGCAAGCCAGGTTTTGTTTTAGTTTGCATCATTTCTTGCAAGTGACAGAACAACACAAGATGCTTGTGTAGGTTTGCCTTTTGCCACCAAAATCTATCATGCTCATCTGCATCATTTGGAATGACATTACTTCCTCTGTGCAGGAAGGCACTTAAAGATGTCAGACCAGAGGTACAGTAAATGCGGCTGCAGAAACAGACAGCTGCTTCTCTTCTCACCGAGTTACAAGCAGCACAGTAGCTGAATATATTGGCACCTTTTATAGAGTTCTGTGATTTTAAACTTGGGCGGTTTTAATAACCAAATAAAAAAGACTTAATCCAGAAGCAAGTCTGCAGTTGTAACAATAGCGGGCGAGCACTGCTCATGAGAAATCAAAGCCAGGGCGCCAAACCAAAGTTCCAGGCTGGATTTTCAACAACCACAGCTTGGCAAGAGCTTTTGCAAAAGACACTTCTGTCCATTTCTGGCCACTTGCTAGCAGCACAATAAGCAGCAGTGAATACGTTGCTTCCATGCTGAAATGTACATGAAACAAAGAGATGCTCAAAACCTGCAGCCATGGAAGGACAGCAGCACAGCTTACTTGCTGCAGCAGCCACTTCTGAAGCTTTCACTGACAATCTGAAACGAGCTTAGCTGGCACCTAAGCTGTTACTGGCTCCTGGGTCTTACTTCAGTATAAAGTCCATATAAAGTATCTCAATCTTTTATATATGTGGGCAAAGAGAGGCCCAAGCTAACAGGATCCACAAAACCCCTAGGTGTTTCCCACCTCCATCAACAAGCTACAACAACAGGATTATAAATGAAGTGTTCACATTAGACACACATTGAGAAGCGTGTAAACCAGGGGCAAATATGTCTAAATCCTGAGGCTGGTTCTTGCTGTCACCACCTGGAAAGAGGTGCTGTACTGGTAGGCTCAGGAGAAATGAGACCATAGACTCACTGTCTTTCCTTTTAAATACAGCAGAGAGTAATCCTCAAAATATGCAGAACTTCAGGTATCCAGTTCCATCTATTGAACTGTAAGTAAAAGAGAGAAGCAGGACCAAACAGAAAATCACTGTTATATATTTGAGCATAAGTATCACAACCATTTCCTTACAGTGGAATTTTGTGCAAAACAATGGGCGCTTCCAGATACTTCCCCACTATCCCAAGTGCCCTGACAGAATTCTGCAGGACTTTTCCTAAACTGGTTTATTTGGTTTTGTCCCATCTCCTGTGTTTCATTTAAACACTGTATTCCAGACTCAGCAAAATTACTTCTCTCTAGATACACAGGCCCTATTTTCACTGGCCTTCAACCTATTGTTTCAGTGCCTGAGTGTGTTGTCATCTCTCCCCTGATTTAATATAAGTAGAACACATCACAGGCAAACAGAGGTGCATTGCTATCGTTAAAATACATATACATGAATCACCTGTAAGAACTTAATACGGGAGCAACGTAAGTATCAGTAACTAAAGGTACATAACCCAGATTAGCACGAAGACAGCCACTTTGGTGTCATCTCTGGCCCAGTCGATTCCATGCAAAGCAGAACAGTTTAAGGAGGAAAGAGCAAGAATTTCCTGTCTAGCTCCTCTCATGATCTGGTGGGATGTCAGGGGACACCTGGGACAGAAGCAGAGTTCAGATCCTGTTAGGAAGAGAAAGGCTGCAGAAGGAGAGAACTGATCATTGAGTGGAGGGGTAAGAGGAGGGTCTACAACTTATTGGGAGTCGTGAGCAAGAGCTGCCTTAAGCATGTAATTCCAAGAAGTTGAGAACTGGAGTGGGGCCCTATTTTATTTAATAGGTGATTCTTAAGATGTGACCCTCAGTTCTGCACTTACAGCTGTCCAGATCAGATCATGCTTTGGTTAACATGGTGTATTTTGTAGATGCTATGTTTTAGGCAGCTATGTCTCCCATACAATGTTACTAAATCCCCAGCTCCCTGCTTGCAGGCATGGCCAGGCAGCGGTGTGCTTAAGAGTTAGTTTAGAAGCAGCCACTTTTCCAAACAGCACCAATTTCCAGACATTGTACTCACATGCAAAATGAACACTTAAACTGCGCTATTTCTTTTAAATACAGATAGCCCTGTCCTCCCCCCTTTCATTCCTGGATTCCTCTTTGAGAATTACAGTAACAGGCCAATAAATCACTACTTCAGCTACAGATCTATCATTCAATCTTAACTTCTTTAGTAAGCCTAAGTATTCTACTTAGTCTAAGGTAATGTAGAAAATTGAACATAATGACCTTTCTGAGGGTCATTATGTTCCATTTTCTACCCATTCACATTTCTTATCCATATACAGGGTAAGAATATGAGCAGAGGACCAGCCACTTAGAGTTGCCTTGGGTCAGATTAAGTGCACACCAGAGGGTCAGCCACTCTGCAGGTAATAGACAGAGATAAATTGTCTCTTCCCACCTGCAAAAGACCTGAAGAAACCGAGCCACTGAGCCACCCACCAACATGAATTCTCACATTGCTTGGACTGAAACGAGCTGGTGTTAGCATCTACAGATCAAAATGCCTACACTGAGGAAAGCCCATAAAACCTGGCTCCTGTGCACAGCTGCATCCCCCAGCCTGGTTTCTCCTTGCGTGACCCCTCTTTGGTATCTAGTGGCTGGTGTTATAAAGTCAGGGAGGATTTCCATCGTGCTGAGGAATTTACCTGCCACTGCTTCCTTATTGCTATCTCTACCTTTCTTCTTTCAGGTTTTTTTTCCATTCCATATGCACATAATCACTGTTTTTCCCCATTCATTCCCTCACATCACCCCACCTCTGCATGGTGCTGGCTTTTGCTCACCAAGGCATTGCAGAAGTAAGCACCTGAAGAACCTTTCCTGCTTGTGGCCACTGTGAAAGCTGGTTTCTGGGGCTGCCTGCTCCAGCTGGCAAGCCCCAGCTACGCAACACCTCAACCGTTTCACACATAAAAGCACATAAATGGAAGAACCTGCCTCTCCAAAGCCTGCAGTCTCGCTAGGAATGACGCTCACAAAAGCACATCCAAATCAAAATCAATGCTACCAACACTGGGAAAAAAACCCCCAACACTTGCAGAGGCTTGGTTTGGAGCCTTCTCTATGCACTAAGAGAGAAGAATTATATTTTACCTGTAAAAATTCATCTTTTCTCATTCTATCCGCTCTGTGGACAAACTGTTGAGCTCGCTGCTTTGACCAAAGCTCTCTGAAACACTAATAACTCAGCACACACTCAACACACCCCATACTGGCTGGTTTTTTGTTGTTTGGGGTTTTTCTTGTTAAACTGAGTGTTTATTAAGGAGATCACAGATTTCCCTATGTTTGTTGTGAGAAAAAAAAAAATCAAGTAATTCTTGGTATTTAATATGGTAACTCGGACTGATATATAGGGTAAGAATGCGAGCAGAGGACCAGCCACTTAAGAGTTGCCTTGGGTCAGACGTAAGTGCACACCAGAGGGTCAGCCATACTGCAGGTAATAGAGGGAAATCGTCTCTTCCCACCTGCAAAAGACCTGAAGAAACCGAGCCACCCATCAACATGAATTCTCGCATTGCTTGGACTGAAATGAGCCGGTGTTAGCATCTACAGATCAAAATGCCTACACTGAGGAAAGCCCATAAAAGGAACTTAATGCCATCACCTATTGAAGGTATGAAACACGTGTTTCCAGAAACAACCTTAATGCAGCGCTGCTCTTGTGCGGGTGGAACCTGCTTTAGAAGGAACCTGTGGGAAATGCTCATGCATTTCACCTGCCTCTTGCTCCCGCTGGGTGAGCCCAGGGGCACAATAGGACACGCACCCGGTGAGTGGCTCCCCGCAACACCTCCGCTGCTCACCCAGGCTGTGTGCCAAGCCGATGGTCTCTGTGTGAATGGGGAGCAGGGTCGCAACAGGGGACCGTGCCCTCTCCCCGCGGCCCCTGCATTATGCCTGCCGCTGCTACCGCCCCGGTTGCGTTCCCGACCGCTCCGCTCCGCCCCGCTGCGGGGCGGGGTGACCGCAGGCGGTGTCGGCGGCGCGGCCTGGCCTGGGCCGGCGGAGGTGAGAGCGGATGGCGTGAGATGGCCCCGGCTTGGTGGGGGTCCCCGGGATGCTGGGCTGCGGGTGGGGAGCCGGACCCGCAGGGCAGAGCGGAGCGGGGCGCAGCGCTGTGCCCATCCTCGCAGCCAGGTGTCGGGCTGCTTCCCCTGCCACGCTCTGCCGTTCCCCTTCAAGAGGCGTTATCCATCCACCCGAGCGGAGGTGTTTTGGCACCAGAGCTGCATTTCGCGATTTTAAGGCAGGATGTTGTTCAGCATTCATTTTACCCCGAGGCAGACAAGGGTTGTTGCACTCATTCTACGACGAAGAAACCGATACGTGGGGTGTAAAGTCCCTAAAAGGCACAAAGGCATCTGAGGTAGGGTTTGATGAGGCAGTCTTACCTGCACCTGAGCTTGGATGTGTCCAGCCCACTGGATGCCAGCGGGATTCCACAGCCCTGGCTTCAGTGTTTGAGGATGGAAGAGTCTGCTGTTGGAGGTACACAGCAGCGCCCGAGTTAACCAGTGGGTATCCAGCTCTGTCACACGGGTGTTTTGATGCAGGCAGGCTTCTAGCTCAGAGCCAGCCTCAAATGCAGCAGGAGCTGCTGCTCTGTTTTAAAGTGGAAGGGAGAAGGGTTACTGTGCACCTTCAGTTCAGTGGTTTATGGCAAGGAGCATTCACCTGGGTCATGGGAGGGTTTGTTCAATTCCATCTTCTGCCTGAGGGCTAATGAGACCTGCAGCCTTCCTCCTAACTGCACCAGGCTGCTTTTGGCACTTCTCAGCTTCCTTTCGAAGCTGTGTAATCATTGTGCAAGAACTTTAGGAGTTGATTCAGGTGATAAGGACAGGAACTAGAAGGGAGGGTCAGAACGGCCTCTGCGCTGTTCTCTGAGTGTGGTTTCTGCATTGAACATGTGCAATAGTCATGGAAACTGTCCACAAACTGTCATAGAGCAGATCTCTGGATTTAGGCATGGAAACTACACAGAGCAGATCCCCTCCCTCCTCTCCCTTGGCTCCCATTAAAAGTGTCCCCCAACCCCTCACTAGGGTAAAACATATCTGATTTAGTGAACCTTGAACACTGCTCACTCAGAGGAACTGTAGCAGGAGAGTTACTATCTTGGATAAGGGTAATGAGTAGGTAAGTACTTGACAAGGGATATATACATGCAGGTGAGTCCTAAGACTTTACCACCATGCTGTGAGGCAATGAAATAGCTGTAACTCACATAGGAACTAGATACTAGCTACCTTTCTACCTTCTTCACTTGTTAGGTCTCCTTTGCACAACAGGTCCTGCTCTGTTTGCACCTAACTTTGAGAACTAGTTCTCAAGAAGTCAATATGAATTCGGGGTGTGAGGCATGAATACCTGAGTGGTGTGGGGGACTGCCATGGGTGGCTTGTGCAGCTTTGAACAAGCATCTCTGCTGGGAAACAACTGTAGCACCGAGTCGAAAACTAATGCCCCTGTGAGGGCAGTTTTCACATTTTCCCCCTCCACTGACAAGAGAAGAGCTAACTAAAATTTATTCTGATCTAAAACCTGTTTCAAACGCATTCAGAAAGTATCCTGTCACATCCTCATTCGAGGACAGAGTGGAACAGGTCTCTAACCTCACTTAAATGCCTGGCAGATTGGCTGTCTCTCTCTTCTGTGCTGTATTTATGGTCCTTTTGTCACTGGACATTTGTAGCTTGTTATCTTTTGATTGCTTTTTTAAATGTATGTGCAAAAAAAATGTATTTGCAAAAGCCAACAGCTCTGTGTTATCAGATGGTCCGTCTGGCTCCACCTATTTAGGCACCATACTCATTTAATAGCTCCTTAATAAATCACTTGCCCAGACTGGGTCCCAGGAGTACAGGTGTGGCAACCATGCAGTTTCCCTTCGGGTTAGCCATTTAGTCATCTTTGCTGACTTCAGCTACCAAACCATTACCATTCTCTTACGCCTGATCATTATTTCAGTGGCTGATGAGCTTTAACTTTGCAGCTAAGGCAGCACACAGCTCTGCTTGTGCCCCTGGGAGTTATGCTCTGAATGCTGCCTCCTCGGGAATTTCTGCCCTGTTTGTGAAACGTGGCTTCCTGTAAGTTAGAAACTTGGCTGTCATTCTTGAGAGTCCTTTCCTATTATCACTCTTATCTCTCCCAGCTGAGAGTTTTAATCCTGGCTGCTTCTAATTATCCTGCAAGCACAAAAAAGTGAGCATTTTATCTCTGGACTAAATCCACCTTGTGAAAAACACAGGCCAAAATTACAGCTAAGAGGGAAAGGAAGCTAACAGGAAGGAAACACTACTTGCCTGGGGTGGCTTCTAGCCTAGACCAGGCAGTTACCACATGACAGTTCCCAAAGAAGTCAGCATGAATACCTGAGTGGTGTGTGGGACTGCCGTGGGTGGTTTGTGCAGCTTTGAACAAGCATCTCTGCCGGGAAACAACCGCAGCACTGAGCTGAAAACAAAACTGAACCCTGGAATATTCACTCTCCTCACTGAAGCCTCAAAAGGTTCTTTTCCTTGGGACCTGGAAGAGCACAAGAAACCTTGTTGGTCCTATTCTCAATCCTAGCTGAAGCACTCTCTGCCTTCACCATCCCCTGCCAGACACGTGAGCAGAGGAGCTGGGGCTCACAGCTGGACCAGTGCCCAGGGCTGGGATGCTGCCTTGGAATGACCGGCCCTTGTGAGCTACTCAGGATGGAGGCATTGGAAACTGTGCTAGCAGCTAAAATCAACTGAGCTGGAGCCAGGGGCTGGAGCAGGGCTACAGCACCCTGCCCCTGCCTCTCCAGTTTACTCCTGTCCCCTAAAGAAGCAGCCCCAGAGCATGTTTTAGTCTATGCTTTCAAAGTTTATTTTCCCATCCTTCTGGAGACTGCTTTCTTTTAAAGAGCTGTTGTAATACTAGAGGAATCACATTGTCTTTGTGAGCCTGCATTTTGTCGTATAATCTGAGGGGATATAAACCCAAACAAATAAATACAAACAAATACATCCAGATGATGAACAGAACTAGATCATTGCGTCCCACAGGTGGCTTCTAATTACCCGAACCAGTGGCTGTTTATTATGGTCTTTCTGCTCTGTCAGGCTGTTAAATGTTTTATTGCCTTAGATTTTCCCCATCAGTGACAGGAATTCACTTGCCTTATAACATGCTTTCTGATTTTAAGTTGGAAAATGCTGTATTTGAGCTAAGCACCATAGCAACTTAAGGGAGAGGCTGAGGGGTGGGAAGGGGCATATTCATTAAGCATGTGATGAATGAAATTGTTTCTCTTTTAGACTGCAATTGGCTAAAGGGTCCCCATGCAGAGAAGCATATTTACACTGCACAGCTTTTTACAAGCACAAATGCAGATATGATGATGGCTTAGAGCCTGGGCAAAAGCGTGGAGCTTTATTTTTGGTTCGGTAGGTAGATTTGATCTCATCACATGATAACAGCGATACAAGTGTTCACAACAGCCAGTGGGCCTTTATCTGGCCAGTGTGAGAACAAAGACTTACTGTTGGTGATACATTGTTCAAGGTCTTTTTTTTATGGGTTAGATAAATATTACAAGGAAACTCCTTGTCGGTAGGTTTTCTGTTAGATAAGAAGGGTGTTCTCAGAAGGTCTTTGGTGGTTTTTATTGAGAAATTTTATCAAGTGCAAACACAAACAGTCCTTCACAGTCTGTGTATATCACCAGCCTCTGGGAAAGAGACCCGTAATGTCACTGTGGGTGAAGACTAATGATGTTAGGGTATTAGACATGTATATTTTACTTGTTTGGCACTTTCTCCAGAAGGCAGGAATAACTCTCCATTCCCTACAGAATTGTGACATAGATTCCCTACAGAATTGTAAATAGATAGGGGAAGCTGAACAGGAAGACTCTTCCACTTGGATGGCAAGAAGGGACCCAAGAACTGAAGAATGAGATTGAGACGCATTTGTCTATCCAGGTGAGTTTCAGTAGGCTTTAGGCAACCAAGGCACCAGAATCTGACCCAAAAGGCCCTTCCTTCAGTCATAAACCCACATGGCACCACCGTTTCTACTGCTGCTTCCAGTATGTGTAAGCCATTTCACAGGAGCACCCCAGGATGAGGAGCCTTGCAGAGCGACTGCAGATGTTGTGGAGATCACTATGAAGAGTATGGTGCCAAGGAGGCCTCCTTGGCAGAGCTTTGGGTCTAGTTCAGGCCATACTAGCGCTAGCCATGGACATTTTCTTTCAAACTTTAGCCAAGAAAAGATCTCTGATACTGTGATACTGCCACCCAGTTAGACCATTAGAGGAAGTGGAAGACCTGGGTACTTGTCCTTCCTCAGTCTGGGAAGCTTCGGTCTGGTTCTCACGCAAGGAAACTGCTTTAACCACGTGGCCATAAGCACGAAAGTGTGTTAAGTAACAGTACCTCGTGTATCTCCTGCAGAAGCTTGGCTGTGCAAACACGAATGCAAAAGCTGTGAGGACTTTTTGCTGAGCAGCAGTTGGAAGATGAACTTCTTGAACTATTTCAGAAGAGAACATTGCTTGCTTCATTTTGTTTGCTAAATCCAAAATGCTAGATTAGGTAAAATCCACAGCTAAACTTCATCTTTAGAGTCCAGTGGTGAGTACAGAATTAGGAACTGATATTACTGTCCACTACTTCCCTTTGTCAGTGCATGCATCTGACATAGTCCTGCATCCAATCTACATTCCCCTTGTTTTGCAGAACTATAGTTAACTCCTCAGTTCTTCTTTTAGCCTCTCCTTCTACTTTGGGGTTCCATTTTCTGAAGTTACAGCCCCTAGCCTCAATAGCTTTGAGCCAGTCTCACAAAACTCGAAAGTCCTAGGTAACCAGCCCAACTGTTTTAGATACTTCAAGTCTCAGCCCTGTGACATACAAAAACCAGATCCAAGTTTCCACTGTTTGCAATGGGGTTTTCTTGTTACTCTCCTCTTTTGTTTGTTTCTTTGTTTTCAAGTCTGCTTCATTCTGTTCCCACAGAGGGATCAATGC